TGCTCTCTTGTGTCAGCTCACATTCCCTAGCGTGTACACAGTCTGTATGGAGCCATGTCAGTGTGGTTCAGGCCCCTGGTAACAGCTGTCAGGGCTCATACTCTGTCTTATACTCTTGCTCTTCTTGCTTCTGTGCACACTGGCTTGACCTCCAACTGCCAGCAATGAAACGTTTTCCCCAAGGTCTTGCTTTTACATCTAGATCTGCAGAGTTGATAGCTCTTGGCAGTGGCTCTTATCCAATGAATGACAGGAGTTGGTGTATAAATTCTCTAACTCTGTTACCATGTAGAAGGGATGACTCTAAGGTCTGTGCCTTTCACTGGTTGCCCCTTTCCCCTGTAGGAGTGTTGCAGGAATCAGGTAAGTATCGGCAAAATGTGCTCAAAGAGTGGGAGAAACCAAACTTTATTTTACACCAGCAGGCCCAGAGGAGATCAGCTCCAATTCTGAGTGCCCCTTACCAGTTTTTCACAACATTTATAGGCTATCAAATGTCATAAATTTTCTAGACTAAAACGACACATGGTTGACAAGGTTTCAAAAATGATTTATGATTGTGCGTAACCATTTTCAGACAGGAGGCGTGCTTACCTAAGCAGAGCTTGATAAAGGAGACTTGCTCCTGTAGCCAAGGCTCTTGGCCTGGAGCCTTTACAGGGATATTTACACTTCAAAGGAAAGTAGTTAGCTCCTAGGAAAGTCCTTGACAATCTAAAAGGTAGGAGTGAATGGTGCTAATTAGGTTCCCGGAAACCAGCTGGCTGGAAAGATGAAGGATGGGGAACTCTCCCTTTCCCAGGCTTAATTTTCATGGACAGTGTCCTTAGTTTATTTTGTATCCAGTCCTGGGTTAGTTACCCATTACCAGAGGAACTGCTCTCCCTTCAGCCAGAGGCACCTTGCCCTGGCTGCTTCATGGGCTTCTCACTCTCTTACCTCTGTGCTAATCTTTCCTTCACTTTCTCAACGAGCTTCATTCACTGGAATTTTTGTCTTTGGGTAGCCTTCTGGGGACCCCTGGTAACTCACTTAACCTCCTTCCCTTGTGGCTGATTACCTATATATCAGTAAAATTTTTGAAGGAATAAAATTTTATCCATAATATTTTATTTTACTTCGGCAACTTTTGGCATGAGATGTTAACATGTAAACAAACAAAGATAATAGATATTTTGATTACTATAAGTACATAGACTAAGGGGAAGAGCAACACAACAGAGCACCTCATTTTGTCCAAGAATGTATGGGAAAGTTTTCTGAAGAGGTACTCATTAGGGTTGGGTCAGTGGGTTGAGGAGATTGAAGGTAAAAGAGGGAAAGGATGTTTAGAAAGAAGTGCCTGCTGAGTCTTAGAGATGAGGAGGTGTAAGGGATCCTCAGGATTGACAAGAAAGGTTGAGTTGCTGCTGCATGGGAATCATGTTCCAAGCAGCATGAGATAAAGGAGAAATGTATATGGGGTTGATTGATCACATGTGTGTGTCTTGCAGCAGAGGTCATGTGTGGAGGGGAGAGGAAAAAAATACACGGGGATAGGTATAAATGTGAACTACTACACACTCAGATTTGTTATAAAAATTTATTTTTCTGCAGTCACTTAAATTTGCTTACAGGTTTGCATTTTACGAAGTTCAAGAGATGAATCTTGGTAAATCAAGAATTTACTCCTGTTCTCCTTCTCAGGGTAAAATCCAGGTTCCTGTGTACTTGGATCCCACAATCCAAATAGTAGCTGTAGATTTTGTTTTTGATCTGTCTTGTGGAATGCATTCCTAACTCCAAAAAGCAGAATGAGCAGAATTCTCCCTCCAAGAAAGAGAAGTGCTTCCTTCAGTCTTATCAAAGAAAAATCTTCTTTTTCAATGCAACTATCCTGAAAAATGTATCTGTACCCTTAGGCTAATGCTGAGGTGCTGCACTCAGTCTTCTTTTTGTTTCTAGGAAAACAATGTCTTGAAAGAGAATTCAAGTCAAGAACTGTTAGAATGTTAAAATTAGGCTCCTTTTCTTTCCAAGTTCTTTTCTGGGAGTCAATGTCTCTAAACACTCCACTTTGCTCTTGTTTGTTTGTTTTTAAATTTTCCTTTCTTAATTGTTCTGCTTTGTTCATGTAACCAAAAACTATAGAGAATGTTTCAAACACCTCCTTCACAGTCCCCTAACTTTTTAAACCAGTAGTGACTCTTGATAAATCATTTCCTCTTTCATCCAGTGCTCTCACAGGGTCATGCTCATAACCCTATGTCAGGACTTCACTCAGAGTAGAGTTCATATATTTGCAGCCAGAGGCACCTGAGAAAACTCCAGAATGCCTCCCACATCTAATCAAGATGACTCAGGTTACATCCCAGGTCTCCCTGTTAATAGAAACTGGCACCCTAAAGATCACTTCTATGTTCTACAGAAATTCTTCCCATCCACTCATCCCTCACTGAACTCTCAAAGTTCTGAGACTGATCATATTATACTATGTATGTATACAAATATGTCACAATGAACTCCACCTTTATGTATAATTATAATGTACCATTACAAACTTTTTGGAACTTCATTTTACCATATTAGCAAATTATTTAATTACTTCTTACTATGATAACTAGCTATAGGTTTCTTAAGGAATGGATTTTGTGAGTTATTATAGTTTCAATAACTTCTAACTACAGCACATAATTAATGTTTAGTGAAAGGAGAGTTAGAAAATCTTAAAGATCTGCTCAAAACATGAAGAAAAAAACTTTAATAACTTTACATTGTAATTCTCAAGATACATTAATCACTTTAAGTTGTAGTTCCTAACAAATGCTAAGTCATAGTATCATTAGGTGGATAATAATATGTCACGATATATTCTCAAAAGATATTTACCTTAAATTAAAACATGCAAACAAACAGACACAGCTAATTTCAATGCTCATATGAGAACTTAGATATGTGAAGTGTCAACTCAAATTTTAATGTTTTTATTTTATCACAAATATTGAAATGATAGAATAAATTTACAAGGTATATTCCCCAACTCACTCTATAATATATAAAATTAGATTTTGCAAAAACATATGTACATGTATTCATGCCAGATTACCTAAATTCTTTTGTGATCTGCATGAGTCTTTTTGTTTTATGTCAATTTGTGCAGAACTTCTTACAGCTTTTTAGTGGCTTCATAAAATTCTATTACATAGATAGGTATAATTTATTTAACTTATCCCATATCAATCTAGGGGTTTATTCCCATTAACAGATGAGAGTTATACAATGAACATCTTTGTCATTATGAGGTTGGGGAATCTTTACCTGGTTCTTTTCTTAAAATACTTGCTAGAAACAGAACTGTAGAATTAAGTGACATGCATGTTTTAAATTTTTGCACAAATTTTTTGATACCCCCTCCAGAAATGGGATACTAAATCATGTACTTCTGAGATGAACATAAATAGGCTCAACTTAGAAACATGCTCAATTCCCCACACTCTCATTCCTATCACATATTATTAATTCTTCTAAAATTTATTAACTTGATATATAAAACTATTATATTTAGTAGCCTTTTTGATTATTTGCAAACTTTGCATTTCAATGTATTCGATAGTCCTTTTTATTTTTATTTTTTAATTTACAGTAGTGCCTATTCATTTGTCTAGGGAAGTGTTGGTCTCTGTCTTACTGTTTTATAATAATAATTGTTATTAGTCATTCTTTTTCATTAGTCATTCTTTTTCATTACATATTCTGTCCATAGTTTTTTCAAGCTTCTCTCTCCTTTTTAAAAAAAATTTACCTTGTTTTATGGGGCTGGGGATGTGGCTCAAGCAGTAGTGGGCTTGCCTGGCATGTGCGAGGCGCTGGGTTCGATCCTCAGAACCACATAAAAATAAAATAAAGATGTTGTGTTCACTGAAAACTAAAAATAAATATTAAAAAATTTTCTCTCTCTCTCTTTAAAAAAATTTACCTTGTTTACTTTTGAAGTTCAAAATTTTAGTACATGAATCTATATGGGTTTTCTGTTATGATTCTGACAACAAGAAACTATGAGTAATGTTTGCTCCTAATTTTTTATTATCTAGAAGAGAATTAGTTTGATTTCATAAGGGATATAAGGTAAGGTACTTAACAATATTTTTTTGCAAAAAATGCCCTATAGCCATTTCTTTATTTTATTTTATTCATTTATTATTATTATTTATTTTTGGTATGGTGCTGAGGATTGAACCCAGAATCCAGGCCTTGTGCATGCAAGGCAAGCACTCTACCAACAGAGCTATAACCCTAGCCTGCATTATTATTTTTATCTACAACAATATACAAACATTGGATAGCATTTATAGAAAACCAAAAGAAAATTGCCCTACATTACTACTAGGAGATATAATATAAAACCTACAGAACAAGGAAAACAACCTAATCTAAGACAATCACTCTGCAATAGCGATTGCAGAAGTTGTACCATTTGCTCATGGTTATTCCCGCATTTGTAAAAAAAAAAAAAAACTCCCAAAATACAAAATATGATTCCATTCTGAGCCTGAAATGGTTGCTGTATATAACTAAGAGTCCTAATGGGAGCGGAAGAAAGACTGGACCCCTTCAAAAAAACCCTCAAATTTCTAAAAATTAAAACCAAGTAAATGCAGGGTAGAGGAAGACCCAGGTTCAAAATGTTGACAGGGAAGAAGGAATTTGGAAGGCACAGAACTGAAGCATGAATGGAAGGCCTTCAAGGGGAATCACAGAGGAAAGCAAGGAACTAGGCAGGTTTGCGGAATCTGGGAAGTGTGCATCTTGTGTCAATTATCATTTAGTAAATAATGTTTCTCTCAAATGCTTCAGGATGTTTATTTCACCAAGAAGCTGCTAGCATGAAGGTTACACTGTAGAATTGAGGTGACATTTCCCCTCTTCAATTTAATGTATCATATGCATTTCCTGTGTTAACTGTCATAATGACTGGGAAATTCCCCTGATATTAATGAATTCCTCTATCAAAGTTAGCTGATTTAGAAAAATAAATGTATGGTTGTTGAACTGTCTTTTAGAACCCGGCTGGTCATAGTAAGTTTTATTGATCTCTTAAACCAAGGGTATTATAAAGTATAAGTCAAAGAATTTAGAAAAGAGTTACCATAACTAAACCAGCAAAATACCTCATAAACATAGGAAGGACTTATAAAATCACCAAAAAATCAATCAATGAATTGAATACAGAAACCATGAGATGACAAAGGCTACCACTGTGATTCTAGGGTTTTGGCTGCTTTTCTTTCTCTCCTGGCCACCATGGTTTTGTAACTCTTTGAGGATGACTCTGATTTGCTAATATTTTAAACCATTTTAGCCTGTTTTTCTGGCCACGTAAAAAATATTACTATACAAAATTATTAAAATAGAGGTAGGATTGAAAAATAAAAGAAAATCTGCCAAAATCCAAATTTGATTTATAATAGGCTGACAACCTACTATGAAGTTGCGGGCACTGGATAATCACTCCACTCCATCATCACTGACACCTGTGTAGAACACAGCACTTCTGAACACCAGGTACAGGGTCCAGGAGATGCCAATGCAAATTCTCAGCACAGACACTGTGGATTCAATAGGATAGACCAAAGAGTCAGTAATAGCACTGTACCTGTTGATGAAGATGAAACGTAGGTGAAGGAGAGAAGAGTAAAATTCCACATCACAGCAAGTGTGAAAACTGCAGAAATGTCTCCCAAACTATCTGAAGGATGAGATGCAGTCTGGCTCCTTCTACCAAAGTAGATCTGGATGGTCTTTGCAGGTTCCATCTCCTACAAAATGACCATGGCTTTCACGACGGAAAAAGGAATGTTGACCATTTCCTAAACTTATAATGTGCCCAATACTGCCAGGAGCTATCCATGAACTGTGCATGAACCAGATCAAATCCATCAGGCAGGAAAGCCTAGTATCAGGAACTCCCAGTGCAGTCCTGCTGGTTTGGGAATTCTGGGTTCACGTGGCTTTCTACCTAGCTCTATTGAAAATTCAGCACAGCTCATTTATTGATTGGGTTGTTTGTTTTATTTGGTGTTTTTTTGTTTGTTTGTTTGTTTTTGTTTTTGAGCTCTTTTGATCTCCTGGAGATTAGTACTCTATCTGACCTGCATGTGGCAAAAATTTGCTCCAAATGTAGGCTCTCTCTTCACCTCATTGATTGTTTCTTTTGATGAGAAGAAGCTTTTTAGTTTGAATCCATCTCATTTATTGATTCTTGATTTTATTTCTTGTACTTTAGGAGTCTTGTTAAGAAAGTTGGGGCCTAGTCCAATGTGATAAAAATTTGGGCCTACTTTTTCTCTCTATTAGGTGCAGGGTCTCTGGTCTAATTTCTAGGTCCTTGAGCCACTTTGAGTTGGGTTTCGTGCATGGTGAGAGATAGGTTTCTGTTTTTTTTTTTTTTTTATTCTGCTGTATATGGATTTCCAGTTCTCCCAGCACCATTTGTTGAAGAGGCTATCTTTTCTGCAATGTATACTTTTGGCAACTTTGTCTAGTATGAGATAACTGTGTTTCTGTGGTTTTGTCTCTGTGTCTTCAATTCTGTACCATTGGTCTACATGTCTATTTTGGTGCCAATACCATTCAGTTTTTGTTCTCTCTAATAAGTGAATGCTGATCCATAATGGGGGGGGGGCGCGTGGGAAAAATAGAGGAACTCTGATGGGATAAAGGGGAGGGAGAGGTTGGGAAGGGGTATGGGGGGTAGGAAAGATGATGGAATGCGATGGACATCATTACCCTAGGTATATGTGTGACTGCACATATGGTACGATGCTACATCGTGTACTAACATAGAAGTATAAAATTGTGCTGCAATTGTGTACAATGAATCAAATGCATTCTGCTGTCATATATACCTAATTAAAAAAATAAGGTGCAGCACAGCATCAGAGATGGGGTGACCTGCTGGAGCCATACAGCTCTCTCGGAGATGGGTGTGACTTGCCAAAATGCCAACCAACTTGTTTATTTCAAGACCCCTGCCACACAGAGAAGCAAGCACCAAAACAAGATTACCCAAACTCCTGCTGCTGAAACTTTTGATGAACTCTCCCTTAAATAAAGAACCAGAGCCACTTTTTAGTTGTTCAGTTCCAGCTCCTATCAGGACTAGAAGACCTATCAGGCACTCCTTTTTAATTAAATTTCTGTCTCTGTTATTTCTTACTAATTATTTCAGACTTTCTATTTCTCAAGCAGCTCACACCTCCTGAGCAGGAATCTACCCTGATGGGGTACTGGCCTCCTCGCAATACAGCACATCTCCTCCAGGCCTTGGAAGGGCTATGAATCTGGTGATCTCTTTTGCACAAGCTACGGAGCACCTATTTGTTACCAATTTCACAGTTTCCTGGTTTGGTTATTTTAGACTTGAGAATCAAGGTATTATAGTCGGTTCTTTCTCTATCTCTGGGGGAAAAAAAAAAGTTACACTTTTGGAGAAATCTAGATGTTCTTAATTCTACTTCTCAAGAGATTTTGCTCTATCAAACTTTTCTTCCCAGTATTATTTCCATCTTTTTATCCCTTCATCTCTCCTTAGTCTCCTGCTGATTTTGTCTGTACAGGAAATTAGAAACACTCTGCAGTTCTTGTTCAAACTCTGCCTCATCAGAGTTACTTGATATTTCTGAGTTCAATATGGCTGCAGAAGGCCCGATTGACATTTCACACCAATTTTCTTGGAATCTTGGTCATAGTTCTTATCTTGTGGTTGCTACTCAGTCCATTGTACAGGTAATGTGCTGCTTAAAGTGTGGTAGGAATTCCAAAAAGCTGCATAGGAAATTCCTATAAGTCACAATGCACAATTCACATGTGCAAAACAGGTGACTTTTATACACACACACACACACACACACACACACACACACACACATGGGATTGAACCCAGGTCTACTTTATCACTGAGCTACATTCCCAGACTTTTTAAATATTTTATTTTGTGATAGGGTCTTGCAAAGTTGCTTAGGGCCTCACTACGTTGCTGAGGCTGGCCTCAAACTTGGGGATCCTCCTGCTTCAGACTCCCAAGTCACTCAGATTAGAGAGAGGTCTGCACCACCACACCCAGCAGATGACTTTATCTTTAATGCCACCATCATGATAGCAGTAGTAAGCAGCTTTTGAATAACTCCTATGTCTAGGTGGTCTACATGCCTTTCATCTATGTTGAAAAAACTATCAGTGAAGTATGTCCTCAGATATTGGTTCTGCATTACTCAATCAACTTTAAACATTTGGGGATCATGGTGTACTACTTTAGACCTTTTTATTATGACCTATAAGACTTAAACTGTTTTCTGTATTTTCAAAACTCAAAATTATTCTCTGGATATTTTCTATTTACCAGTTTTTGTTCACTAATCCTCTTTTACAGTTTTTAATCTGCTCTTAAGCTATAATTGAACTTTTTATTTCAGTATTTTCCATTTTGCTCCTTATATGTTTCAGTTTTCTGTTGAAATTTCTTTTTTAAGATTCAAGTCTGTTAGGCCCAACATCCAGGTCCTCGATGGGTCTTTCTTTCGACTTAGTGTTCAGTTAGTCCTAGCTCATGGAATGTCTTGTTATTTTCATTGAGTACTGCTGATTAGGTATGAAAACTGAAGAGAATCTGAATAATGTTGTTTTGTTTTCTTCCAAGGAGGATTTAGATCTCTTCATCCTGGCAGAGTATAACCAGAGCAGGTATTTGATGTGTCCAGTTTAAATTTCAGAACTAGTGAAAGCTAATATTTTTCTGATTTTCCCTTAGTCAGAGATCTCCCTTGAAATATTGGGGTGTGTACTTTGGTCTTCTTCTGTGGCAAACCCAAACTCCAATTTTTGCTTGACCAGCTACGTAAGAGTGCCGAAGCTCTGCTTAACTTTCTAGCAATTATGTTCTTCTTTGTCACTGTCTATAATCAGGGAACACTGTTGAATCTGCAAAAAATTCTTAAGGGCAAAAGCAACACAGTATGCTTGTCTCTATTCTCTGCTATTCTTATTTCTCCTGGGTCATGGCATCTCAAACATTGGCTTTTTTAATTCCTAAAATACAATTTCCACAATCTCCCTCCAATAGTTGCTTAAAATCAGTGACAACCTTAGGTCACCACTTCTGCTCAGTCTCTTTGTGTCACAGAAAGAAGATGTTGCTATGAATATGAGCCTTTGCAGAAGGTGTACCTCATCTCCATGAGTGTTCTAGGTCTCTGTTCCCCATTTCTCACTTTGTTGTACCTGGTAACATATGCTCCTCAGAATAGGGTAAGAGAGGGAATGTGGGGTACAGGGATAAGTCATCTGAGGTAATGACACATTTCCTTTATATTGTAGAATTTTTATAAATGGCTACAATATCTTTAAACTTCCCTTCAGATCAACAAAATTTAAAACAGCATTCCTCTTGACTCAAGGCCCCAAACAAACATTTAGAAAAATTGAAATTCTAAACACTTCCTCAGCCCCTTCCATATGTAAAACTCTATGAAACCTTTTTGACAGTTTTACAAACGAGGAATATCTTTTTTGAGCACCTGGAAGCCATTGATGGTAATATAAACATCAAGGAAGACAGCATCTCTATCTCCCAGTCTCTGTGTAAAGTAGGGAAGGAGCTTAACTTCAGAAAGTGCCTCACTCCAAGTTGAAAAGCTACTTCCTGTTGTCAAGATAGGAGAAAGTTTATTTTCCTTTTGGTAAGGCCAATCAGCAAACACAGGTGGCCACAGCCTCCTCACCTTTAGTTCTCAAAAACTCTCCAGCCCTAGTTTTTGTGATGTTGAGTCTATTAGACTAGAGTTCTGGCCTTTCTCCCCTACTGCAGTAGTCTTGGATGAAGTGTTCTTTGTCCAGTGAAAGTTTCTGCTTTGACATAATATAAAACATACTCCAATGTTCCTCAGTTGGCAATTGAATGCAACAAACACCAATTCTTTTGTTCTTTTAACATTAAGCATTTGTTTCTTACACATTTAACTAAGACTGAGCCAGATAGACACTAAGCTCCAGCAACTTAGGAGAAGGGGGCTTTGTCATTGCTACAGTGTGTTTCTTGTATCTCTCATCCTCCTCCGGTCTGAGAGAAACCAGAGCATGTGCTAGTGGTGAAGGCAGAGGTTCAATAAAGCAAACAAAAAGAGTAAGGCCTCATAAGACCTGGGCTC